GGTTTGAAAAGAGACGAAAATAAATAAAGAGAAAGAAAAAAACAAAATAATTAGAAAACTTACATGGGCGACGATGTTTCACACCTCACCACGGTCGCGGTGAGTTGACAAAATTGAGGTAGTATACTCACGTTTCACCACGGTCCCACCACGGTCCTACCACGGTCCCACTACAGTCGCGGTGGGTTGGACAATTTCGAGGCAGAATACTCGCCTCTCACTGTGGTCCTGCCGCGGTCGCGGTCCTGCCCATTTTTTTATGAGAAGTTACATAAGAAACACAAGCTACAACATTCGTGGGTTTCCTCCCATGCAGCGCCTGATTTAACGTCGCGGCATGACGCAGGCTCGGAGCATCATTCCTCATTCATGTATGGGGGCTCTTCCAACATTATTATCTCTCTGTCCCCTTTCTCATTTTCCATTCCAAGGTAGTGTTTCAAGATCTGACCATATCACTGTGAACTTATTCGTCCCATCCTCTGATTCAATCTCAGCAACTCCACTTGGGAACATTTGCACCACTCTAAAGGGTCCTGACAATCGTGACTTAAACTTACCCGGAAACAATCTCAATCTGGAGTTGTATAACAGTACTAGCTCTCCGGATTTGAAGTTACGGTCCACGATGTGCTTGTCATGCAGCAATTTAATTCGTTCTTTGTATAATCTAGCACTCTCGAATGCCTGGAACCTGAATTCCTCTACCTCATGTAACCCAGTGACTCTGCTAGTGCATGTTGTCTCTATGTCCAAGTTCAACTGCCGCAATGCCCAAAGTGCTTTGTGCTCAAGCTCTACCGGGATGTGGAATGCCTTTCCAAATACCAACTTGTAGGGTGACATACCAATTGGAGTTTTGAAGGTTGTGCGGTACGCCCACAATGCATCATCCAGCTTCCTTGCCCAATTAGTCTTTGTTGCATTCATAGTTTCTGTAAGGACACTTTTAATCTCTCTGTTGGACACTTCAACTTGCCCGCTCGACTATGTATTATATGGGGTGGTCACCTTATGACGAACTCCATACTTTTCCAGCAGCCGTGCGAACGCTCTATTACTGAAATGGGTTCCGCCATCACTGAGTATAGCTCTTGGGGTGCCAAATCGTGTGAAAATGTTCTTCTTTAGAAAGACTATTACCCCTTTAGCATCATTGGTCGGGAGAGCCACTTCTTCGACCCACTTGGAAACGTAGTCAACTGCTACCAATATGTACTTATTACCATACGATCTAACAAATGGCCCCATGAAGTCGATCCCCCACATGTCTAAAACTTCCCCCTCTTGAATTGTGGTCATTGGCATCTCGTGTATGCGAGATATGTTGCTTGTCCTTTGGCATTTATCGCAACTTTTGACCCAAGCATGGGCATCCTTGAACAGAGTTGGCCAATACAAGCCCGACTCTAACACCTTAGCTATTGTCCGAATTTCTCCAAAGTGTCCACCATATGGTGAAGCATGGCAAGCCTACAAAATAGAATTTTGATCTTTCTTGGGGATACACTGCCGGATCATGTTATCTACATAGATTTTAAACAATAGAGGTTCATCCCAATAATAAGACCGACAATCACGAAAGAACTTTTTCTTTTGAACTGAGGAGAGTTCATAAGGTACAATACCACTTGCTAAATTATTAGCAATGTCAGCATACCACAGTGCCTCCTCCATTGTCATTGCTAGTAACTGTTCATCCGGGAATGTCTCTATTATATCCTCAACCTCTACCTTCTTTTCAGCTCCTTCCAACCTTGAGAGGTGGTCAGCCACTTGGTTCTCTGTCCCTTTTCTATCACATATCTCCAGGTCGAATTCTTGTAACAGAAGAACCCAACTAATCAAGCATGGCTTTGACTCCTTTTTTTCTATAAGGTACCTAATTGCTGCATAGTCAGTGTAAACAATGACTTTTGAGCCAATCAAGTATGACCTGAATTTGTCGAATGCAAAAACGACAGCCAACATCTCCTTTTTCATCATGGTGTAATTGAGTTGTGCACCGCTAAGCGTTCTGCTTGCATAGTAAATTGGGTGCATCAGTTTATCTTTTCGCTGCCCCAAGACTGCTCCTATAGCATAATCACTTGCATCACATATGAGCTCAAATGGTTGCTCCCAGTTGGGTGTAACAATGATGGGTGCAGTCACCAATCTCTACGTCAATTCCTCAAATGCCAACCTGCACTCATTAGAAAACACAAAGGGGTGATCCTTTTCAAGGAGTTTGCATAATGGGTTAGCAATCTTAAAGAAATCTTTTATGAATCGCCTGTAAAACCCGGCATGCCCAAGGAATCTTCTTACCGCCTTGACTGAAGTAGGCGGTGGCAACTTCTCAATCACGTCAACCTTAGCATGGTCAACCTCAATTCCCTTACTGGAAACTTGATGCCCCAGGACTATCCCTTCTTGTACCATAAAATGGTACTTCTCCCAGTTCAACACTCAATTTGTCTCCACACATCTTTTGAGCACTCTTATTAAGTTGTGGAGACAGTCCTCGAATGAATCCCCCACCACAGAGAAATCATCCATAAAAACCTCCATAATGTCCTCCACCATGTCTGTGAAAATGGCTAACATGCACCGTTGAAATGTCACAGGTGCATTGCAAAGCCCAAAAGGCATTCTCTGAAAGGTGAAGTTGCCATACGGACAAGTGAATGATGTTTTCTCTCTATCTTTGGGGGATATTGAGATCTGACTGTACCCCGAATATCCATCCAAGAAACAAAAGTGCGATCGCCCAGCCAGCCTGTCCAACATTTGGTCAATGAATGGTAGGTAGAAGTGGTCCTTCCAGGTGGCTGTGTTCAATTTGCGGTAATCTATGCAATTCCGCCATCCCGTGACTGTACGAGTCAAGATCAACTCGTTGTTCTCATTTTGTACAACCATCATTCCCCTCTTTTTCGTCACACATTTGATAGGGCTGGCCCAATTTCTATAAGAGATAGGGAAGATGATTCCCACATCTAACTATTTAATCACTTCCTTCTTCACCACCTCTTTCATAATCGGGTTCAACCTTCGTTGATGTTCTCTGGAAGGTTTGTGCCTTTCTTCCAAGAGAATCTTGTGCATACAGAAGGCTGGGCCGATACCCTTTATGTCTGCCATGGTCCAACCTATGGCAGTCATATATTCCTATAGTACATGTAGGAGCTGTTATACCTGTACATCTAGCAAACTGGATGATATAATGACAGGCAAAGTAGAATCAGGCCTAAGAAAATGTAGCACTTTGGTGGTTCCTCTACTGATGGCTTTGCTAGAGGTGTAGCCCTTTTTTCTAACTCAAGGGACTCGAACTGAGGTTCCCTTTTCCTGAATCCTTGGCCTTCAAGTGCCATGACCCACTCAGCTAACCCTTCACCATCCATCTCCTCTAAATTTGTCGGGCAGGCTTCCAATGGATCTTTAGCAGTCAGGGTCACATCATCTTCGTGTAGGATGGCATCCACTGCTTCCAATAGGGAGCAATTAGCATATTCACTAGGTCTCTTCATGGATTGTTGAATGTTGAATATGACTTCTTCATCGTTCAGCCTCATTTTTAACTTCCTAGTTTCAAAATCGATCAGTGCTCTCCCAGTGGCCAAGAATGGCCTCCCTAAAATGATAGGTATTTCCTCATCTACCTAACAATCATGAATCACAAAGTCTATAGGGAACACAAACTCCCCCACTTGTACCAACACATCATCAAGAATTTTAGTTGGCCTTTTAACCGTGTGGTCAGCCAGTTGCAACAGCATCGAAGTCGGTCTAGTTGTGCCAACGCCCTGTTTGGTGTATATAGCCAGAGGCATCAAATTTATGCTGGCTCCTAAGTCACATAATTCCTTTGCAAAGGCATAACTCTCAATGGTGCATGGAATAGTAAAGCTACCTGGGTCAAACATCTTTTGAGCCATGGACCTTTTCACTACTGCGTTGCAGGTCAGTGTCAGTGTCACTATAGATAGGTCCTAAAAATCAAACTTCCATGACATTAGATCCTTCATTATCTTCTCATACCTGGAATCTCCCTCAAGTCATCCATCAAATGAATATTCAACTGAATTTGACGCAGTATCTCCATGAATTTCCTGTATTGATCTTCCTTCTTTTGTTTTACCAATCTCTGAGGGAATGGTGCAGGTACCACCCTTTGTGCACTGCTTGCTGGCTTCTCTCTATTGGGGTTCTGTGGCACAAGAGGTACCACCTGTTCTGCAGCTTGTTCGCTCACCTTAGCCTTACCCTTTTCATCCTGAACTTGTTCAACCACCACTTCAGTAAGTTCTTTTGGTTCATCTGCCTATAGTTGAACTGGAGTGGCTAGCGTAGTCTCTTTGCTAGCTTGTGCAACTTCCTGCTCTTTGTCTAAATTTCTCCTATTCTGGAGACTTACTGCCATCAGCTGATTTGGGTTTTGCTCCTTGGGGTTGATGTTTGTGTCCGCTTGCAATATTCCTTGGGGGTGGTTGTTTAAAGCCATAGACGGCTTCCCCAACTGAGTTTCAATGTTCTTTATAGATGAATCATGCACTGCCAACTTTTCCTGCATCTTACCATTTGTCCCAATGAGTTGCTGAAGCATACCTCTGATCTCTACCATGTTGTTATCTTGTTGCTGAGGAGGTGGCTGATATGTTAATTGTTGCTGATTTTGCTATGGATAATCCTGTTGTCTCTTCTATGGCACCATTTGGCCTTGGGGTTGCATACTTCCAGGTTGTTGCATAGTTGGCCTGTATTGCTGATTTGGTGTCGGTCTCCAATGTTGTCCTCCTTGTATCTGACCCCCAAAGTTGTTAACATAATTCATATCTTCTCTTACCCCTTGATTGTCACCTTCTCCACTCCATGAGCACACATAAGACTGATTAACACAGGGTGTACACAGTCCTCCATTTGTTGTGTCAACAATATGCACCTGTTTTGTACCCATCTCATCAATCTTCTTTGTCAATATACTCATATGAGTCATGAGTGTGGCCATGTTCTCTACATGCGAATTATTTGGGTCAAGAGGAACGGAATGCACTATGGGTGCCAGTGTTGTGCCTCTAGTCATCCACCTCGAATTTTAGGACATCTTGTCAAGAAGGACTTTGCACTCAGTAAATGTCTTACTCAAAAATGCATCCCCAGCTGAAGCATACACATTGAACTTTAGATTGTCAGCTAACCCCATGTAGAACCTCTGACCGAGCATATGATCCGGAATACCATGGTGAGGACACTTCACTAGCATCCCTTTGAACCTTTCCCAAGTTTCCTGCACGGTCTTAGTCGGATGCTGCTTGTACGGCAATATTTTATCAATCTGCCTTGCAGTCTTGTTGGGCGGGTAGAACTTATTTAGGAACTACTTGACTAATTCCTTCCAGGTGACAATGGAATTGATCGCAAGCAAATTCAACCAAGTGTGAGCTTCCCCAGTCATAGAGAGCGGGAACAATAATAGCTTGATAGCTTCTGGGGTCACATTCGTCTGCCTTTAGGTCACACAAATCGACAGAAAATTTTTCAAGTGTTGCTGAGGGTCTTAAATGCGTGACCCGGAGAACAATCCCTTATTCTGCAGAAGATGTAGCATGTTGTTGGTGATCTGGAATGTCTCCGCTTGAATTGGGGGCACAGCTATGGTAGTATCTAGGTTTTCAGCTGTAGGCTATGCGCAATCATAAATTGCAGCTTCTGGCACAAGAGGTACCACTACTCTAATGTTTGGGGGAGCTGGCGCATCCCCGACGTTTCTGTTGACGTTTTCTATGTCACCCATGTCAAATTCAAGCTAGTGTGGTTGTTGTGATTGTTAGATCCTCTTGTTGGCACGGTTCAATGCCCTGAAAGTTTTCTCGGGGTCTGAGAGTCCTTCTAGCAGTTCTCCAGTCCTCGATTAATTTATAGGCATGCACATGATGTCCACAAGAGTTCAAACGTGAGAATTTCAATGAAAAGATTGTTTAACACCTTTGAAAATTGATTTAAACTAATAATTCTAATACTACTTCTAAGTTGTAATAAATAACATCGTTAGTTCCCTGGCAACGACGCCAAAATTTGATCACGCCCAACTATGTCTTCTAAAAGACAAAGCGGTTGTTGCAAATATAATCCGGTCTTAAGTCCGGAGTCGAATCCTCAGGGAACTAACCTATCTATTACAACTCTTTGGCAATGCTATTATCAACTCAACCAATTTCTAGATGCAATATTTTCATCAATCAATCTTGGGTTTTTGGTTAACTACTTCAAATAATATTAAAAATAACAATATGCTGGATTAAAGATAATTCAATGGTAAAAAGGTCTAGGGAAGTGATTTCCCCAATTGCTAGCTTCGGTCTTCACTTTTTCGCTATAATCTCGCTGTAATACTCTATGAGGATTAAGAGCTATGGGTTATCGTAATTATCTCTCTATCAACTACAATAATTTACTAGAGCATTCTCTCGAACTACTCTAGCTAACAATATGTGCAGCTCTAAATTATCCCACCAAAGTTTCGTTATCTCTAAATCCACTTTTAAGTTCAAGTAATGAATCTCTTCAATTACCCAAAAGTGGTGTTGTTCAACAGCAGTCTAACCTAATATTCTTTCTCAAGCAATATGAGCTAATTAGACACGATTAATCAAGGGCTCATTCAATCAATCACCATACAAAACATGGTTGAACAATCATATAATAAATCCGGCTCGATTATAACAAGTTGAGTCAAAACTTCAACCAACAATTGATTCCATCAACCCTAGATAATTGTTTAGCTACTCATAACAAAATAAAATAAAACTACAAAGTTGTTCATAATGTATAATTGCAAGAATTAAAAGGAGATAGAAAAACTCTAATGTTTGGTTGATCTTCTCACACTTGTCCTTGCCTCCAAAGTAGTCTAAAAACAAGCTTAATTATGTCTTGGGCGAGCTTCTAATGATTATAAGGGTTTGTAACAAGTTTTCCCCGAATTACACTTTGGTCCCCAATTTTCTTGCAATTGAACAGTTCACCGCGTCCGCGACAAGACCGCGGCGTGACCGCGGTGAAGGCTGAACATTCTACCTCGCGTAATTGCCTGCCGCAGTTCAACTGTGGTTCCACCGCGGTCGTGGTGGATTTTGTCTTAGTCCATTTTTACTTCTTTATGCTCGGGTATTTCTTGATTTGGTGTTTTCTTCACATTATTGACTCCAAAACACTCCATAGTGCTTCCTCGCTTAGATTATTTCTTGCGAAGCAAAAGAACACCAATTAAAGTATTTTGTTATCAATTCACCTATAAAACAACAATAAATCATGGTAATATTAAGATGTAAATATCATCTGTATAGCCTAATATAAACACTATATATAATGCATGCTAGACTCATGGAATCACGTTCTAAATCTTTTGAAGTGACTTAAGAGCATTATGGACATCCATACTCTCAATATGAACCTCAGTAGGATTCAAGTATCATACATAGTTTCGTAGAATAATTTTATAAGAAAAGAACAACATGGATAACCTTAGTTGCTAGGAGTAGATCTATTATGAAATAGCGTATTTGTTTCACTTTAGATCATGCCAAAATAAATAAAGAAGTGCCTTAACATACCTTAAACATGTTTAGTCCTTAATCCCTTCCAAGCAACTCTTCAAACAAGTCAACTCAATCTATCATAGTATAAGGATATTCAAAATCAGTGTTGAGCAAAGGCTAAGTTTGTAACTTAAGCTAGTAGCTCATTTACGTAAATTCGGGAAACATCTCCCCTGTAACAAGGGCCTCCTCCAATACCATTTTCCAACAACAACAGCAAAAAAAACACCATCAACATGTAAATATCAAGAACAAGACACCATATAACAACAACAAGTCACAACTACTTCACAACGTGTGGCAAGCTCCGATTGGAATCTGTATAACCCATATCTCCCCTTCTAAACTTCTTACATTAACTTAACAACATCATTACCATGATAATGAATTAGTTCATCAATGATTCCACCTTTATACCATATATTTATAACAAAGGAAACAATTCACAACTCCAACTATCTTCAATTAGAAACTTTAGTCACTAGTTCATCTCTAGTCCAACCATTTAACTTAATCAACATCAAGAAAACCTTAAGAATCTGCAAGAACACAATACACATACCTCCTACAATAGCTTCAAGTTGAAATCAAAGTTATATTTAGCTTACAACAGCCCTCAACGGCAATACAATACCATAGAAGTGACTTAAGCTAATCCAAGTATTATCTTGTATTTTATCATCCTAAAAACTTAACCAACATACAAAAAAGCTTAAGCATAATTAGTAGGCTGTTATAATCACCTGAGCCAGTAGCAACAACTTGAAATTTCAGCACAAAACAGCCCACAACTATCCTTAATGATAACACAACCTCAAAGAGGTGTTATTCTTCACTTTTGATGTTGAAATATGGTATAATCCATTTGCAAGACTTGAAATAACCTAGGGTTGATATGAAAACCATGGGAGAGTATTTAAAAAACATAAACACTTAAAAAGACCTCCACACTAGCTGGAACCACCCAAAAATCAGCAACAACAAGAAGAACAAGAAACTTACTAGCGCCACAGGATTCCCGACACTTGATTTGTGTTGTTTGCTCTTTGTTTGGGTCTTGGATCATTAAAGAACTTTGAGAGAGTGTTCTAGGGTTATAAGGTCTGAATATACTGAAAATAATGACTTAAAACGGGGTTGAGGCATCTTATATATATCCATATGTCTTAAACCGCCTATGTGGGCCCCATAGATAGCTGCTTGGCGTAGTCTCGCAGAAACACAAATATATCTCTAGTCCGATGTCGTATCGACAAATGGGTTAATGCGTTAGAAGCTAAACTCGTAGATCTTGAATTTGATATGTAGATAATCCCTTGATTCCAAGTATATTGGTAGAAAAGTGCATCTACATTTGACCTAAATTTCAAAACATTATGAATGTGACTTGTGATGACCTTTGCCAACTTTTGTTCCACAACTCGCTTGACTTAGAAACATAATGCATGACTATCATACAACTAAAATAACTCATAAATTAACTTCTTTTTCATGTTAATCACTCTAGTTTCACCCCAAAAGTATATGTTATAACATTCCAAACTTGTCGACTTTCGATGAAACTTATTTTCTTCAGTTCGTTTAGCGTCTAAGCTTTCCAACCCTTTTGGTACTTGTTATTCATGATATTAAAGATTTATAACCTCCAATATAAAATGATGAACTTACGTTATGTACTTTAAAAAAGTATCTCATTTCCGAGCTTACATCAATTGACTTACGATGTATTCTCACGTACGAAAACATGGGATGTAACAGTATGTATAGATAAAACCCCCTTTTCTTAGAAATTGAGCTCCCATGGTGTCCATATAAATGTTGTAAGTCTGAAAATTAATAAATGTAGTACTTGTTATTTCAAGTGAAATAATGTTGCAAGATTATATGTGGAAGGTTTGTTTCAATGTGCATAATATGTTATTCTTGGTGAATTGAGAATGTGAGCTATGTGCTAAAATGCCTAGATTCGAAGTCAAGTTTAAATTGAGATTGTTATGCCAAACTACGTGAAATTCTATCTGTGTTACAACTTGAATTGCCCTTGTATGTGCCTATTATCTCAAATTGCAAGGTTAATGTTGAAAGCGGAATGTCACGTCCCAACCTCGGGAGGCGCGATCGGCACTCAATCGAGTGAACCCAACTGAGCAAGCCTTATCAAACACTTTCTACACAACTTAATATTATTAAGGAAACTATGCTTTCATTTATTTAGACAATAGGAAAGGTTGTACATTCAACATTGATAGTTCATTTATATCACAACCTTAAATCGTAGTTAAGTTTCCAAGGTTCCATCCAGTTACAATCTAGAGAAACAAGAGTTTAGATTTATAACATAGTTCATAGACCCATCCAACACCCGTACATAACCCACACAAACATCTACGGAGCCTCTAAGTATACAAAA